GTCATTGAAAATATTCAACAGATTGTTTAAAAATATTAAGACTGAGATGATGAAGGAAAGAGGGGCAATGCAATAAGATAAAGAAAAAATTAATATAGCAAACAAGAACTTGGGTAGTTCTCTCAAATAATAATGAGGAAACAAGATTCTGGACAAAAATCAAGTTCCCAGATTGAACTCTGTAAATGATTATCTGACAAGGAAAGCTAACTTATTTACCTTTCTCTCTCCTCTTTTTCAATTATAAAAGTTAAGAAGTTACATTAAATGTTTCTCTAAGACTGCCAGTGCTAACATGCTACAAATTTGTCAATAGTTTGTGTGTCTGAATTATTAGCATGGACTCTCCAAGAATATTGGTCTATTCCCATGAAGAATTCAGGCCTGAAAGTCTCAGTCTAGTCTAGTCTAGTCTAGTCTAGCCTAGTTTAACCTAGCCTACTCTACTCTACTTTATTCTGCCATTATGAGTCAGAATTAACAATAAAATAATACTAGAGAATGTAATTTCTAGCCACAGGAAAAAAGAAAAAATAATTTAAAAATATTCTAATTTGTGAACAGCATTTATTCTGTTTTTATTCTTACATTTCAAAATTATTAGGGCATACTAATACGTATACTTTGTTTTATTTCTGTGGGTTGGAGGAGGCAGGTGATTCTCATTTTTTAGAAGGGAGATTATAGTCTAGAGCTAGCATGTTTATGTTAAAATTTCATATTTGCATTTTGTTCTGTTATTTACTGGTTTTCATTTAATTACATATATACATTTATACCACTAACTATAGTTGATTATTGCCATTTATTACAACATAGGTCTAATCAAAACCTTGTGCACCCTCCCTTTCCCTTCACCTTCTCCATTCATCTGCTCCTCTCTGCTGCCTTTCCCCTCTCCCATCCAGGCCAACCTGTTATGATTGTGTAGGTCTGTATGTAACAGATTGTTTAGATCTGTTTCCTTAACTTTCCCCTCGCTAATCGGATATGAATATCTTATTCTAATTTCCATCCCTAAGTGTTAATTCTCAAAATCTAGTTTACCATAAATCCTGATGGCATCACTCAAGTATTTTACATGAATTTCATGACGAATTTTCCTTTTATTGGCTTAGTTTTTGTGACCCCAAGTAGAATGTTGATTTAATGTTTGTACTGAAAGAGGTCATGCAAAAATAAAATGTACATATAGAGATGTATACATGAAACTAAGTGTCTGGTATTAAGGTTATATCTTAGCTGTGTAGATGCCCTTTATACCAAGATCAATTATTAGCAGGTAGCTTTACTTCTCAGGGAAATTTTTCTATGACGACACTACCAAAAGAGTTTGTTATTTAAACTATCATCCCTTCTACACAAACGATACAATATTAAAAACAATGTTATCTTGCTTTTTTCACTTAGAATGAACTTGGAAATAAGTGTATTTACATATTTAATTTCAATAGCTATATGATAATATAATGTATGAACGCAATATCATTTTTACCAGATAATGAGTATATATCTAGGTTAAAAATAAGTCTTAATTTAGAAGAAATCAGTGGTCATCTGTATGAATTTGTATTGGAGCCCCACTTTGTGTTTACATCCCCACACTACAAGTGAGCTCCTCTGCAGCTGGAGAAGAGTCCCAGCTCTCCAGCTAATGAAATTTGCAATTTTTTAAATTTTTGCCTGAAGTAAACCAAAACACACCTTTTTTTTCCTTGACATTTTACAAACCTACTTTTTTATTTTCTCACATCTGCCTCGTGTTTGATGTTATTCATTAGAAATTCAACCCATCTTGATTTTTACCATGTCAGAATTTTACTGTTAATATTCAACTGTCAAGTTCTACTCCTTTCATTTAGCTTTTCCCCATGAACTCTATAAACATAGACCAAGAAGTTATTTCTTTCTTTCTTAATTTCCATTAGAGATATACCTTTAACTTTTTTTCATTTCTTACATAAGGAAAGATAATATGTGTCTCCTCTCTTTTACAAGATGACCAGTTACTATGTAATTCATTAGGTATAGGACCCTCTTCCACAAGGGGGATATAGTGCTTTGTATGAACTTATT